TCTTCCTGATACCTAAATCTCCCCGCTTTCAATTTAAACCCGTTACCCCTTATCCTGTCACTACCTGCCCTTTTTAAAAGTCCCATTCCAGCATTCTTGTAGGCCCCCCTCAGGTATGATATGTATGTCTTTGACCTCAAAGTGCAGCGGATATGTGAATGAGCCAGAAAGAGAGCCCTGAAAACAGGAACTGTCTCCCTGGGGGAAAACAGGCCCCTTTTGATCAGAGGTAGTGTTACAACAGAAATGTGCAGGAATCTGCATAACCAGGAGGTGCAGAAGGGGTATATTTTGAAGGATGGTCTCAGCAGCCTTGTATTGATGCCTGCGATGCTGTTCTGATGGCCACAAGCATTTCTTGTGCATCTACCCGTGCTGCAGTACCTTGTAAAAGAGGTGTATTCCATTCCAGTTTATTCTAACCCCAAAATTATCTTTAGATTCATATGGCAAACACCTTTACTTCATGGGGAGTCTGATTTGAAAACAGCAGTTTCTGGATAAATCAACCCCCTGCAATGCCCAGGGGCAGACTCCAGCCCTCTGTGAGCCTCCTCCAAAATTCGGCACGTCCAAGAGCCGAGACTGCTTGGTGACAAATGACCTGTGGCACCATGGCCGGGAGCAGCTGGCTAGGGACAGCATGGTCCAGAGCAGCCAGCCTGGGGCACAGCAATCCCAAAGATCCAGCCCACTCCATCTGTTCGCTAGTGACTGAGCTATTTATAACTTGGTTGCTTTCATGTTCTACCTCTGCACCTCTCTCCCCTGAAAATTAGCATTTGCCTAGAAGTGAGGGTAGATTTCTGCGATATTTATAGCTAACCTGCCTCTGCAATTTGCTGAGCGCCACCCTACCCTGCTCAGGGGGAGGAGGCACTAACCTTTTTGACACAAAATCCTCCTGCTTTCTTATGTTTGCACTGCTTCTGTTTTGTTTATAAAGGCCATCAGATCTCACGGTTGTAGTGGGAGGAATTGACCTCAACCTCCCGCTGGAAGAACACAAGCCGCACAGCTTGATCCTCCACGAAAGCTTTGACAGCATGAGCATGGAAAATGATATCGCTCTGATCCTGCTCAGCTCTCCCATCAAGTTCAGCAGTAGGAAAATCCCCATCTGCTTGCCCTTCGTAGATGACATCAATGCGTGGCAACACTGCTGGGTTGCTGGGTGGGGACCCGGAAGAGCAGGTGAGATGCTGTTTCTGCTAATGGAGGCTGGGTTTTACCCCTTTAAAGTGGATGTTCTCTCCCAAGAGGGGTTGCCCACACTAATTTCCACTCCCTACCTCCCTGGTAAACACATCCAGACCCTCGCAGCCTCTGTGCATCCATCAGTTTTCTGCTCTGTGCAAGAAGCAGTCACCTACTGACCCCCAGAGCAAAGACCCTGGTACGCTGAGCGTGTATGTTCAAGCGGAAACCTTAGAGCCCACCTTTGCCTTTTTTGGCACCCAAAGTAAGACAAGTCCCACCCTGTTAGGCAAGTTAGCCTGGGTCTAAAGTGGTCTGGAATAAGGGAAGTGGAGGTGTAGGGTTGTCTTTGGCTTAATGCCTCGATGAACCAGATTGATTCAATGGTACTGGCTACTCCTTCACTCATTTAGAACAGCAGATTGCTATTGCTAATTGCTCTCGTTTAAGCCCTAATGAAAGTAGCTCCAGCACTGATTGTGACCCAAAATGTCTATCCTGAACAAATGTCAGTAAACGGCTAATGAGCCGTTTCATTATTGGAAGGAAGTAATCGGACAAGTGGGCAGGGTGGTGCCTTGGGGCTTTAACAGTCCTTGCTAGGATATAGTCAGTGATTGTTCTGTTTAACCCTTCCCATTCTGCTCCAGAGGGTTAATGTCTCCTCTCTGAACCTCTGCATTTTCCTTCTTAGGCTTAGTTTGCCTCATGTAACAGTAATACACAACACAACACTGTGTTAGAGTTATGAAACTCTCCCATTTCACCAAGGTAACGTGCTCTTAGAAACAGAAAAGCTGGGGGCTGCTGCAGAGTCACTCTGCAGCTTGGCAGGATTTCTCTTTAGCTAGTGCCTTTGCAAAATGCATGGCGTGGCTCCGGAGATCAATCTCATGCTGCTGTGTGGGCTCAGTTGACATTGCTTCTGCTCTCCAAATTGCACCCTGCGGGAGGTCAATGCACTCAGCGCTGGCACATACCCTTTCTGTCTAGGAGATGTTTCAGAAGAAAAACAGCAGGAGCTGAGTTTGGTGAGAGGGATGTGCGATGCTGATACGGGCCGTGGGAAGAAAGTATGAGGCGTTGTTCCTCAGTGGGGAAAAATGGGTAATTTCTCGTCCCTATCAGCATTTTGTAGGTGGACATCGCTCAACTGGCACCTCAGGCAGCACTAGCCTGACTGCCCCTCAACTGCAGTCCATTAGACCTCAAGTTGAGCCACCTCCTTGGAGATGCCTCCATTAAAACCTTCTAATCGGTGGGCATTTCATGGAGTGGCTCCATGTGATCTGGGAAAGGCACCTGACGACTTTCTGTCTTTCAGGTCTTACCTTTGAGTCCCACCTTCCCAAAGGCACTGGGACCATTTAGCTCAGTGAAATATGGAAAGCGTGAGTTTCTGAAAATCTGTAGCTCTCCTCACCAGCAGCAACATCCCCCAAAAGTCAATTTTATCCTCCAGACTCAGGTTCACTTTGGAAAGAAATGTGGGTGATATGGGTGGGTTTTCCATGTAGCCCTGCTGATTTTCAGTATTTTTGACACTTGCTGGTGCCACTTTGTGAAAGATACAGCTGGTTCTCTGGGTGAGGCACAGCCTGGAGGTAATCATCTCTTCTGGGGAAAGCTTGGTGGACTTTCCTCTGCAGCACTCTCACAAGACCCCATGAAGGGCTCCTCAAACTCAGATCCTCAGAAATGGGAGTGAGAAACCCAAGCAGTGCAGTGCAGCTTAGTCATCACTGAGACCAACAGGATAAGCCATCCCTTTGGGGGTCTTCCAGCTATACCAGAGTTCATCTACAAAAATAAGTGATTTTTTTAAAATTCCTTTTTAGCAAGCCTCCAGTCCCCAGGATTTCAGCTTTGCCTGTTAACACCTCCCCCTCTCTACCTACATACCCACCTCCCAGGCTGGCTTAAAGTCAAAAGCACAAAGTTATCTTTGCTAACATTTGGACATCCCCTGTAAGCCCCCCTGACCCCAAGACCATACGGTTGTGCCCTGAGACCCTCTGGCCCTGAGGTGCTTTACAAAGCAGTCCCAAGGGCTAGTCTCTGACTGTGTTTTCACCCTTAAAATCTACACTGTTCTACAGGGTTTGTTAATCATTCTCTTCTCGGTGGTTATCGGTTGCGGTGCCAGCATCCCACGTGCTGCAGAAAGTGCGGATGACGCTCATCAGCAGGGAGCAGTGCTTGGAACGGATCCCGCAGCTGGTGGACAATGTGGTGTGTGCTGAGCTGGAGAGAGGAGGAAGAGGCACCTGCCAGGTAAAGTGAACAGGCCCCCAGATGGCCATGCTGCCTGCGGGGGGCACAGAGACATTGGAGGAGAACCGACTTTGCTTGGGGAATGAACATTGATCCTTCCCATGGCTTCCTGGGGTTGCTATAGCTTCTCTGCGGAAGGCCAGGGCAGGATGCCCAGGGGCCAAGGACCTGCCTGCAAAGGCATGTTGACCTGGGCAGGGGGGTTGCAGGACTTCTGGGGTGGAAAGCAGTGCTAATGCTGGAAATGAAACACCTTGTTGGGTGGATGAGCCACTCCTCATGCTCTCCCCCCTGTCCTGATTCCCTCCCAGCAGCAAGAGAAACAGGAGCTCTGCAAGGGAAACCGTAAGCTGAAAGGAGGGTAAGGGAAAAGGGTGTTTCCCAACAAATTCCCTTGGATAGGAGACAGTTTTGGATGGCTCTGGTCACGGGATTTTTGTCTCACAGCAATTAAATTAAATTAAATTTTGTCTCACAGCAATTAAAAATGTCTGCTGTGGCCAAGCTGGGAAGTGGTGGGAGAGGTGGGAGGAGAGGGATCAGCAGAGCATGGGCTGTGTCCTCCCTCTGCCTGGTGTCCCTTGAGCCCTGGGCCAGGCAGTGCTGCTCGGTCACCAGGTTAAATACTGAAAGGAGACAGGGAAATCTATCTGGGAGTGCTAAAGCAAAAGAATTGGGAGGGAAATTTAATCCAGGAGACTTTATTTTGAATATTAAAACCTTTCTTAGGTGAGAGCATCCTTTGCTAACATGGCAGGTTGGTCTATGCATGCAGAACTAGTCACATCTTATGGCAATGAGTTAGTAATGTAGGATGGTGGATTTTCAAGCTAAATTATAAAGAGTTTGAGCAGTATTTGATATCAAGGACTGCTAAGGGGAGAGAGCTGGCACAATCACCCCAATGTGCGAAAATCTCACTCAGAATGTGTGCCCTCAGAACATACTCCATCTGCAGGGTCACTCTCCTGATGTCACACAAAGTCTGAAAGCCAAAGACACCTTTTTTTTTCATAGCATCCAACCTCCAACCGCTCCTCTGGGGGCCTGGTAAGGACTGGGCTTAGTGCGATCTCTGCTTCAGGGCTAAGGTCTCCATCCTCCACTGGGCAAGGGTTTTCTTAGACAAGTACGTGTGTTTGCAGGGAGAGATATGGGCAGAGACATGTATGCACAGCTCCATCCCATGGGATTCATTCACTGTGGGAAATCAAACAACACCCAGGACAGAGAGACGTCCCCTGCCCTTTAGACAGTGGGTACCGGGACCGTGGGCTGCAAATCCATTGTGATCTGGGCTTGTAGCTGGGCAACGGAGAGGAAGTTGGCTTCGCAAAATAATTTTGTGATTAGCCAAAGAGCATCTGTCTCTGCAACTATTCATCTAGTGACTTTCACCTCCATTAAATTCAATCAAAATCTGTAAAAAGAAGACTGACACAGGATAACATTAACATGATGAAAGAATGCACTTCCCAGCCCAACCTTAAGTTCTGCAGCTGAATTGTGCTGGTGAAACAGCAAGAGCACTGGTACCCAGCAAAATGAATCTCCTGTGTTCAGAAAGCTGATGAGGGTGCAGTCTTAATCTACAATAAAGTTAAAGTCATCTCAGAAATGACCTAGAAATGTGAGTTTCCAAGCAGTGGAGGTACATAACAATTGGATGTGTGTTAATGCTCATAACCCAGCAACTGCCCGCTTTTAGTGGAAGCTTGATCAGGCAGAAACGTCTTGCAAACCGAAATAAGAGCAAGACAAAACCATACCTTGAGCCAGTGGAGCTCTTTGGAAAGAAACAGGTGACGTGACTTCATCAGTAGTTGCTAATTTGCTGGAGGGGAAGCATTTTGATGATGGGTAGTTTTCTGGGAAGCACTGATTTAAGTAGGGTAGGGCACATTTTGCCCTTGCTAGGTTGGTTCACAAATTTGGGGGGGCGCCTACAAGGTGCTGGGAGGGGACTTTTTACAGGAGCCTGTAGTGATAGGACAAGGGGTAATGGGTACAAATTGAAAACAGGGAGGTTTAGATTAGGTATCAGGAAGAAATTCTTCACAGAGAGGGTGGTGAGGCCCTGGAACAGGTTGCCCAGAGAAGCTGTGGATGCCCCATCCCTGGGAGTGTCCAAGGCCAGGCTGGATGAGGCTTGGAGCAACCTGGTCTAGTGGAAGGTGTCCCTGCCCATGGCAGGGGGGTTGGAACTAGATGATCTTTAAGGTCCCTTCCAACCCAAACCGTTCCATGATTCTATGATTCTATGATCTGGTGGCTTGCCCATAGCAGGCTGCCTGGTAAAGAACTGGGAGGCCAGGTCCGAAATGCTGGCTCTGCATCATGGACCTCTGGACACCCAGTTCATTCATGCACACCGCAGACAGTGCAATCTATCAGGCTTCACTTGTCTGTAAAGATTATGGGGTTTATGTCAAATGAGAATGAGGCCAGATTTCAAAATACCTAAATCCTTTACAAAGTCGGAGCTGTCAAGGAGGTGGAGCAGCCCTGGGCACGGTTTTCGTCTGTGCCAACCAGCTGTCTTCCTGGATGATTTCCAGACACAGCTCAAGCTTTTGCATGGGTCAGGAGCCACCCACAATAGAATCATAGAATAGTTTGGGTGGGAAAGGACATTTAAGGGTCATCTAGTCCAATCCCCCTGCAATGAACAGGGACACCTTCAACTAGATCAGTTGCTCAGAGCTCCATCCAACCTGACCTTGAATGTTTCCAGGGATAGGGATAGGGCAGGATGACTTTGGGTCCTGGCACCCCAGTTGAGAGGCCAGGAAGGAGCAGCAGCACAGTCAAGGCAGAAACACTTGGTCAGGGAACAAGCCCTGGAGACGCTGAGCGTGCCGGTGTAGATGTGGTCACAGTAAACCTGGACGTGAAGTAGAGAAAAGCCTTATGTTAACCTTTTCTGAGCTTTGCTGAGAGTCAGGATACGTGTGTCCAAAGCCAGGCTACGTTGGGCAGGTTACATCTAGACCTAAGGTTGTAAATCCACATGACCCTGATCTGGATCCAAAGGATTACCATCCTAGGTCTGTGCCATTTGTATGCTCGATTTGCCCCATTGCAGCAAGCTGTTTTATATGAGCAACTAGATCCACACAGAAGTCTTCACCATGGTATCATGTAGAATTTTTATTACCTGCCTTAATCTCCCCATATGGCAACAGGGCATGAATAGCAGGGCTTAGACATTTCGCCAGTTGCCATCATACTGGTAGCAGACAAGACTAATTTGTGGATCACTGACCATATTCCTATAATAACTCAAGGAAATTGAATAGCAGAGCTCCCAAGTATTTGTACTTTAAAAAAATCCATTCCCTTAAAAAGGAAAATATGTTGTATACCAATTCCCCAGTGGCTCTGCAGACAAATCTGTAGATTGACTGTGAATTAACACTAACAGGATCTGTAATTGACTTATAGTTCTATTTAGTCATAAACATTAGCATTAATGGATGTTCATGGGGTACAAGTGTTAAAGAACAGACACTAGAGATGGCCTATGTGTTATTTTTTTGTGTGTGCTACATTTCTTCCATGACCCCTTGAACCACAATTGATGTCTAATTCCTTGCTTTCTTAAGCATCCTTTGTTGGGCTCTGATGCAACGCTAAGTTGAACAATAATTAGAGTATAAGGAACTCACAAAGCAAATGCCTCTTCAGTGTCTTGCCTATCCAGACAAAATTCAGTAAATGGCCCAATTATATTTCAGAGAGTTTCTGCAAAGGAGGTCTGTGGGGGTAGCTCTGCGATGTGGTGATTAGGACAGAGTGTGTTCAGCTGGAAGTCACAGTTCACGTACAGTTCAGGTCAGCAGCTGATGAAGGGGGGCCCAGTCCCTGGCCTGACTTTCAGGGGAAGGAGTCAATGTGTGACCACAAACAAGCAGTGGAATGGTTCCAGCTCGGTTCAACATGCCCTACACCGTCACCCAGTCTAGGGCTGATCTGAGTCGTGGGGTGAAGGTATCTACCCCCTTCCACCGAACGCAGCAGGAAGTGATCTTGGCCACTTCTGATAAATGTCTGAAATGATGCTAGGATGTATCTAGGGCTCTAGGTTTTAATTTATTTAGTTCTGTGTAAAAGACAGAGAAGATCCTCTTTCCTTCACCTATAATATGCCCTGCCCACATACACTGTCAGCAGTTTGGAAAGGGCAAATGCCCTTTACAGCATCGGGGATGCTCAGATCTCTCACCCCTCATAGCTATGGTGATAGCAGTAGTTGTTGTACAACCCCGGATGGGATTTATCCGGCCAGATATAAAAGTCTTTTCTATAGCCATCTGTACCTACTGAATCATGTTTCCATCAATAAGGAGGGGAAAAAAAAATCACTTCTGACATGTAACTCATTGAGAGTGTTTTAACCATCTGTTTTAAAATGTGATAAATCCCCATAGGAATGCTTGTTGCTCCCCATTAACTAAAAGCAAGTCCAAGGTGTCTAGCTCACAGGGAGACATATGGCTCCAAAGCAGGACAGTTGCCTACATCTAAGTCTCCAAGTGCTATTTTAGATATCCCAGGATATCCCTCTGGCATCCCACTGCCCACCTCTAAACCCATGCCCCAGTGTCAGGAATGTGACCTCAGTGGGAGCTTGACACTTGCCCTGGAGACAGCAAGGGTAGGTGATCAGCCTGGAGCTGAACCTCAGTTCTTCTGTGCCCGAGTGCTAAACCATAGAATCACAGAATCACAGAATGGTTTGGGTTGGAAGGGACCTTAAAGACCATCTAGTTCCAACCGCCCTGCCATGGGCAGGGACACCTTCCACTAGACCAGGTTGCTCCAAGCCTCATCCAGCCTGGCCTTGGACACTCCCAGGGATGGGGCATCCACAGCTTCTCTGGGCAACCTGTCCCAGTGCCTCACCACCCTCTCTGTGAAGAATTTCTTCCTGATATCTAATCTAAACCTCCCTGTTCAGAGGGAGGTTGTACCTCCCTCTAATTTGTGCCCGTTACCCC